TACGGCTCAGTGGTGTCAAAATACTATCAGGAAAAATATTAATACAGCTATAAATACAGAAGGCATAGCTACATGGTGTTATGAAACATGAGTCAAAGACTGCTGAACTGGTGCTGCATTAGCTTTACAGATGCACATCTGAAAATAATAAAGTGGGTCTGGATGCAATGCAGATTCAGCACGATACAACCTCAGCTGCCACATCATTACATTTTATAGGACATCAGGCATTTCTACTGCTAGGCAGTTTCAGCTACTTGTTTTATTTATTTAAGCCACCAGGTCAGGAGGACAAGTGGGAAGTTTCAGTTAGACATAATGAAATGAGAAATGCTAAGCATCTAGAAGATGTGTGGGAAAGGAGGGAAGAGAAGAAACAGTAAGTGGAGCTGCCCTTCAGGCCCAGCTTAGAAGTCCTAAAAGTCAGAAATACTATGGTCACAAGATACAAAGCTACAAGATACATCCAACAGGGGAGATTTAGATTAGACATTAGGAAGAAGTTCTTTACTGTGAGGGTGGTGAGACACTGGCACAGGTTGCCCAGTGTCTCACCCATCCTTGGCCCAGTGTTCAAGGCCAGGTTGGATGGGGTTTGGAGCAACCTGGTCTAGTGGAAGGTGTCCCTGCCCATAGCGGGGGGTTGGAACTGGATGAGCTTTAAGGTCCTTTTTAGCCAACCATTCTGTGGTTCTATAAACATGGCTCTGATTCATCTGGTCAAAACTACCCACTCTGTTCCACCATCCCGCAGAGCCAGATCTCACCTTGTCCTTCCCCTGGTGTCATAAAATCAGTATAAACCCATTTAACTTTGTGTTCTGGTAGAAAGGCACAGTAATGCTCACAAGTAATTAACCACCAAGGGGTTAATGATTATAATGCATCATCACATTACTATGCATTCATGTTCCCTTTTGTTTCGTTTTATTGCCATTATAATCAGGTGCAAGGACAGATGTTTCAGCCATGACACTAATGCATGTTTCAGACATGACACTAATCTGGAGCTGCTTGTATCTAGGTCTCTGGTCTGTGAGGTTATCTTCAGGGCTTATCTAGCTTGGTATTTATTTGCACTTGAAAACTTTGCAATATTCATTAATGTGATGCATCGTTTTACAAATGAAAATGCGAAGGACAAAACCTAAGATGTGTGTTATTGGCTATGTGCACTGTGTAATTAACACAGATTATTATCTGTATGCAAATCATGTGATTGAAAATAGTGACTATTAGCATAACAAGTACCTATTATTTCTTGAGACGCAACTCAAGCAGGCATCCTGCTGGGGTCTAACGTCCTTCCTTTAAATAGCACCATCTTTTCTTTCTTCATTTACACATTCTTCATTCCTCCTGATGATTAACAGCACAGAAAACAGGGAGACTCCCTTTTGTGCCTTTGTTTAAAGAGGGAAATCTTGTGTGTTTAATTGCCCTCAAGCATCTGATCCAGTTCAAAGCTCAGTGGAACCTCTCCTGTGGTGCAACATTCCCCTCCCACTCCCATCATCACTGAACCACAGGCTGTTTAAATGATCCTTTAATATATGCAACTTCACCTACATTATCTCTAATTCTTAACTGATAAGTTAAAAGCAGTTAGGCATCTTTTTTGGTAGATTGAGGGTTTTTTAAAAAAAGAAAAAAATGGAAATAAAGTGGGAGAAAACAAAAGCTCAACTATGCAAACTCATGAACTTTTTAAATGTCCTGCCACTTTTCTCAGATTAATTTAACCTTTTAAACGTTCCAGCCATGAAACATAACAGAAAAACACAATTTTACCTTTTCCTTTTTCGGGAGATCTGAGTAAAGCTTTCTTGCTGGACCAGTTAGTTCTGCTAGCCGTGTCTGCTGAGAGTTCTGCATCACTGATGCTGGCACTGATTCCTTGCTCCACTCCCTACCCTGCACAAGTCCTGAGGTCCCAGGGTCTCTGCTGGACTCTTGAACCTTTCCTATCATTTCTGTGAAAGCAAAAGCTTCCAGAACTGTTCCTTGCCCAATAATTCCTTCCCTGGCCCCAGGCCTTCTGGGTTTTACACCTCCTGTTTGTTCTAAGGCCACATCCTCTGCTTCAGAGATGGCTGTGTTACAGTAATGAAATAATTAACAGGGGTAATGATTGCAATTATTTATCATTCGCCAAAATTGAGCCGTTTTGCCTGAAGTTTTCCAAGCTGCGTGCCAACCTAAGAAACAATTGTGGTCTCAAATTAAAACCAGCACAACAATTCCTGAGTATCATTAGAATATACAATGATCTTACTATTAAGTTAGACTGATCTTTCCCTGAGAAAACTTGTCTTCCAATACTAATTTCTTACTTTGTTCTTAAGGGCACTGGAGAACAGGGACAGTAAATCAAGAAGGGAAGATGAGACAGCGCATGGAGAGTGAGAAAAAAAGAAAAGGGAAAACAAATTTAGATGTAAGGTGTGAAGTTGAAGGCTGGGACCTGCTGCACAAAAGCCACAGAACTGGGACATGAAGCCTCCAGTGGGCATAGAAAATGTGAAAAATAGGTGTGGGACAAATTGGAAGGGAAATAACAGAAATGGCATTGTCTGTAAATACACATTTTGATTTAGAACCATAGAATGTTTGGGTTGGAAAGGACTTTAAAGCTCATCCAGTTCCGACCCCCTGCCATGGACAGAGACACCTTCTACTAGATCAGGTTGATCCAAGCCCCGTCCAACCTGACCTTGAGCACTGCCAGGGATGGGGCAGCCACAGCTTCTCTGGGCACCCTGTGCCAGCGCCTCAGCACCCTCACAGGGAAGAATCCTTATAGCTTATCTGAAGTTCCCTTGTTTAAGTCCATGACTCCTGTTTGACTGCAGGAGGCAGATCTGCTGCGGAGGTGGATCATTGCTGTCCCATGAGGACAACTGGTACTTGAGGAACCCCTGTCCACTTGGCACAGCAGATGGACTGTGCACAGTCTCAGTCTTCTGCTAATGCCATTTTTCATCTGCAAAACATATATATAGACCCAAACTTTTCCCTACAACTCATTCTCTGAGACCCTGAGGATGTATGTGGGCCTACCTTCTAACCAAACTCAACAAAAGGTGATACAAAAGCAGCTTAGAAGCAGTAACTGGAATCCAGTTAGAAATTTATTTTATTAAAAAGATGCTTTTTTATATAAAAAGATGCTCCCTCCTTTACTTTGGCAAGCTTTAGATACAACTCTCAAACAGTTCTGCTACTGCTACCGCAATGTTGTAGAGATGTTTTGGAATTTTTTATGAAATAGCATTAAATGTCCTGTTGGTTTATACAAAAATGTAACTTTCCACAACACAGACGATTCTCTTGGACCCTTTGTTAATTCTCATAGTTAAATCATCCGGGGGGAAAGTGTGGGAGTTTAAGGACTTCAACCTTAATTCTTTCCATCCCACTTCTGAGACTCCACAATAGCCATGAGTCCAATAACACCTCTCAATATCTTGTGTTGATATTATTTCCAGCAAATAATTTGGCAGGAGAGACAGAGAGAAATATTCGTAAAGAAACAACCAAAACCAAGGAGGCCAAAACTGAGATCCCTGCTCCAATCAGGCAGAGAGACCTCAACTCGACTTTTTAGATTAGAACATTAATTGCTGCATCACTACTCTGTAAGGGAGAAACAAGAACAAAAGCCCCCAAACCTTTATTTTCTGTTTTATCCCAGTGCAGTGAAATGAAAACAATTTTATACCAAGTGTCTCATCTCTCACCTCTGTGTCCTATTTCAACATTGGCAACATGTGGCCATGTTGTTAAGGCTGAGCTGTGAAATGGTGTCTCACTTTGCTATCAGAGGCTTAACATAAACTAGTACGGATAAAGACAGCTCTATTTCAGTGAATTCCTGTAGAATTAAGGAGTGGTCATTGGATATGTTTGTTTAGAACCTTTAATGAAGTGAACTGCACAAGTAATGATTGGATGAAAGGATAAAATTCACTAGATGTATCCCCCTGCTATTAATTAGTACCCCTAACAAACTATGAGCAAAGTCCTTGCCTTCTGTATTAATAATGAAATAAAAGATTAGTCTGGAAGGCCCCTCTTTGCTCATTCACACTGCTTTCCCCCTAATGTGTGATTGTGCTTTGGTTCATACAGATTCTAAGACAGAGAGTAGACTAGTTTCCAAGTCAGTAAGTACCAGAGAGGTTTTCCTTATAATCACTCAATGTTTTCCTTGTTTCCCCTGAATCCATTCTACTTAAGTTATAGCTGCAATTCACTTCTGTTCCTGAAAATGTCCAAAGAAAGTCTTATTCTTCTCCCATGATCTCACCTAGGTTTGCTTAGCCAACTCCTAAGTTACCTTTGGCTCTCATTTTTTTTCTTTCTAAAATAACCCCTTGTTCCTAAATGATTCAGTGACATATCCATTGCCATAATAAACTTAACCCCATCACCATGTACTGCAAACTCCTTCATTCCAGTGCTGTGAAAATCCAAAAGTGAAATCAAAGACTGATGTCATTAAGAGGAGAATGTACCCAAATTGAGGAGTGTGTGATACAAACACGTTTCATGGATGGAGTTGGGTTTCAGCAATGCATTAAGGACAAAAGCAGATGCAACAGAAGCCCACCATCGAAAGCATAATGCATTGCTTAGAAAGAGATAAGTGGCTGCAAGAAAAAAACATTTGAGAGCACAGAGGGAAGAATGTAGGAAAAGTAAAATAACTGGGCCATCTATGACAGGAATTGTGGTGGTGGAGGGAGGGGAAAACATAGAGCATGACCCGCAGTAGAGAAGTGACTGTTTTATCAGTCACATGTTTACCTCATTAAAGCCAATGTAAAGTCAGCTCATAAAACCTTATGAGAGAGAAGCAAAATATTGCTAAACCCAAAAATTAGTCAGAAGCTATTGCAGAAAGGGACCCTAAATCTAAGCCACAGAATGGAAAACACCTCTGGATGTTGGAGGCCAAACCACTAGCATGCTTGGACCAAGAAGGAATGACAAGCAACTTCATGTTGCCATATAGCATATTTGCTTTTAATATATATTCAGAAAGAGCTTAGTGGTTATCACTGGAAGCCAACAAAGAATTTCAACAGAAAATAAAGCACAGAAGTCGTATCCTGACTTCAGTTCCAAATCACAATCTTCTGATTTCAGAAAATGTCTGTATTTCTTTTGCATGCACATTTAAAACATCAGATATGTATAAATGCAGATTTCTTGCCACTACCTGATCCATTCTCATGAGTCTTTTGCTTAAGAAATGCTCGCAAACCACAGATGGATAAATTCACTATCTAGGAGTAGAGAGAAAATATTTGCAGTCCCAAAATATAGATTTAGTATAAGCTTTTCCTGGATGAACATAACCTCTGTGAATCTTAGTTGGCACAGGATACTCATATTTCTTTCCTAGTCTCATGTTAGTGATTCTTCCTTCTTTTTTCCGCTTTTTCCATACACAGTTGTCTACAAATACATCCTTAGCTATTCCCTGATAATATTCCATTCAACCCTTCTGCATTCCAAACAGTTCCAGTTTTGCAAATGCAACATTATATTTCAGTCATCCCTGAAAATAAAAATTAAATCTCTGCATAAAAATGCAAATGAAACATTAAAACTATGCATGTGCATATCAGATAGTCTGAAATAACATCAACAATTTCAAAGAGATGTTTAAGGCATTAGGTCATGTTATGAAGAGTATCTCTAGCTCCAAGTTTCATAACAAGAATAAATCAATCTTGACAATGAACATGAAAGGGGGAATAAAACCTTTTTGAACACTCAAGGTGGTTTCCTCATTTCCCTCAAACTAAAATGAATTAATTAGTTGATATATATGAAAATTAACTTAAACTAACAACATAATCAGAGAAGGTAAACTTTAAAGTTAAAATTAGATTTAAAAGATATAAAAATATTACTTGGGGCTGATGAGAGCACATGGTAAGTCCACAGTGGCTGTTGAGCTGAGCCTTTTGTCAGTTAAGGAACAGCAACAACAACAAAAAAATATATAGCTAGGAAAAGCTGACCTCAGCCCTTGGACTTTGGTCAGGCACTAATCAGGCTTCCAATGTTTAGAGCTGATCCTCTGGCTACTTATTGACCATATGTACCTGGACACACATAAACATAGCCTCTGGCAACACAGTAGTTAGTCAGGCTCCCTGTGCTAACACTGCACACAGGTTTCATGCTGTTCCAATGCCACCTGGGTCAAATTAAATTACTCCCAAATTGCAGCAATCAGTATGAAAAAAATTAGATTTTTGGTTTTAGTGAAAATGTAAAAAACTTGTTCTAATAAAACCAAATCACACACATAACACAGCCCAATGTAGCTCCAAGTGTTTCCACTGTAGAGCATGCAATTATTGAACCTAGCCAAATGTATATTTAAGTGTATATACTTAAGCAATATAAGACTATCACATGAAAGCCTTTATGCCTGTTTATATAACAGCAGAGCATTTTTAAGCCCCATGGAGCTGTGTTAACGCTAGGCTGTTTAAGCCTTAGGATGTTGGGGCTCAATTCAGAAAGACTAGGAGCAAAGTGACCACTTGTTCTGTGGAGCGTCAACTTCACTGTGAGTCCTATCAGTTGTCATAAAAAGGTCACAAAGACACCTTATCATGCTGCTGGGAAATCCCTATACCATGAGGAAGGTGAGGAATGGAGAGGTGCAGAACAGAACTTACCAGATAAGAAGGGTATAGACCGCAAATATGAAATAGCTTGTTGGCCACCAAGGAAGCTACTGTGACACCATGGAATGGCCTGATATAAATGCAGTAACTCCAAGAATCCCAGGGAAGCAAAAATATGGTTTTGCACTTTGTCCCTGCCACTCCACTCCCTCAGCACCTTTACTGCAAAATTCATCGCTTCATTACTTTCTTAACCCAGGAGCTGCCATTCAGGCCAGCTGAAGGAGATGAGTGCTTATGAAATACACAGCATGTTAAATATGAGCTCATTGTGGATACCTTTACTATCTGTGCTGTGCTGCAGATGTGGATGTGTACTGGATATACCGGGCTATTAGTACCATCCAACATTTTAGTTGTTCATTTAGTTGTTCAAATGTTTAGAACATTTTAATTGTTCAAATTAGAAGCCACATTTCCCTGTATGGATCAAAGCATCTGGATATCCTGAATTCCTTGAAGAGTTCTCATTTATGCAATAGAGGGTTCTCTCTAACCCCACCTGCAGTACCATGTTTGAAAGCTCTTCACTGGAGGGGACAAGACTGGGAATAAACAACTCAATATTCAATAGACATAATCAATAGAGTAAAGAAAAAGAGACAAGAAGCTCTAGCAAAGCACAGAAGAGCCTGCAGGAAGACAGGTACATCTCACCTTTCGGCTGAGCATTTTGCTATTATTTTGCAAGCAATACAATTACAGGAAACATTCAGCCAGTAAACAGAAAGCTTAGATCCTGGTTATTAACATTAGTCTGTTTATTAACATGTAAGCTAATAATAATAGAATATTATTCTGATCACAAAAGAATATACAGCTGTAGAACAGAAGCAAAAATCCCTAATGATATGTACAGTTATGGACAACTTGAAAGCCCCAGCAAACAAAGAAGAGCAAACAGAGACCAAAAGGAGAATCATTAGGTTTCGTGCTAGTGAGATATTTACTAATACACACAATAACTGAGGAAAAAAAAAAAAGTCTGTCTTCAAATTTGCTTTACAGCAACAACTAACTTCCATGCTCCTCAGACAGCCCCAAACTGGGATTCTTCTTTTGGAGCCCAGCGGCTGTCTGCTATTAGTTTTATCTATTCAATCTCCAAACCCCAAACTCAGAGGTTACTGGTGTAGGTCAGTTGTGAGACTATGTTGACTCCCTTGACATTCAGCATGGAAAACCAAATAACAAAGTCTGCACTATGTCAGCAAGCATTTCACATTCTTTGGTTTGTCATGCAAAGCACAAAGACTCTGATACAGTTCAAAATGTCTTTGTATCTACAATCTTGTTTACCCTTAGAATACAAGCTTAATTTCCCACATGCCTGAAGTGTTTTAAAAGCCACTTCATGCAACAGAAAAGACAGTGCTAATTTCTGGCAATGGAACAAGAAATAGTGAGGGTTTCAGAACAGCCTCCAATTCAGCAGTCAGATCAACCTGATACTTACACACAAGTGGGTGTATGAAAGGAAATGTCACTTCAGGAAAATCTAGTTCCAGTGGTGTAGGATCATGATCTTGCCATCCCTAGATGCATATTATTCAGCTGCTTAAATTTGGCAGGTTTTCCTATTTCCACAGAATCAGTATCCACAGTTCTGGCAAAGGTAAGGTCACTTCACCTGTACACACCACAGTGCAACCTCTTAGGGGAAGTGACAACCTGTCCATAGTGGAATACACAGGCAAGACGAAAGTCCTAACTTCAGCATGATGAGTTCAACCCTTGATGGCACCTGCCACCTTCCATTAGCTTTGCAGTCAACTTCAGCTCCTGGCTTGAAGCATTTCAATTTGATGCTAAAGCAGAGGTGTCAATAGCCCCTCAAATACAAATGGATGCAGGATCAGAATCACAGCAACAAAACCAAGGGGCATAGTACAAGGAAAAGGTTTCAACAAGAAATGCAGTTCCTAAATTCTCTCTCTTCAGAGTTTACATCTAAGCAAGAAAGCAATTCTGAAGAGGGATTTAAAACTACAGTGACAGTCAAGCATGTGAAGATGGCCTAATCTACTAATCTTGGAAGGAACAGCTTGCAACTGTGGGGCATTTTGCTTGTTTGGATGGTTTAGTTTTAGTGTTGAATGGTAGAACTGTACCTGCTCATCGGAGGAAAGTTCTTGAGAAGGGCAAATAATTGATCTCAATTGCCTTGGCGGCCTGTGGAGCTCCCAGAATAGGATAATTCCAGGTTTCTTGGACACACATAGGTCCTAACTGCAGGAAAACCTGATTTATTGTTGTGGCCATGGATACACAGAAAAGGGATTCTCCCATAGGAAGACAAATTGTATTTTTACAAAAATCAGGCACAAAGCTGCTTCAAGTACCAACCCACCCCCACATCAATCATACATCCACTATTGCTACATGACAGGATAATCAAGAGTCTGCATAGAGGCTTTAAACAAATACAAACTCTGCTAAGAAAATAACTATTTCTTTAAGCTGTCCACTCCTCAAAACTCTTTCTAGCCTTCAAAGAGCTCTCAGCCTAAGTTGACTGTTGGAAGCAAACTCTTTTCTGACCATTATGCCATGGGTAAAATTAGGCCAAGCCTGAGAAACAGACAAATCTTTTCAACATCTCTCTATTCCATCACGCTTTTCTAAACAGAGTAGACACTACCACAAATTCTACATTCCCTGAATGCAGTATACTTCATCCAGCTTACAATATGTATCGCGCAAAGCACGTGCATAGAAAAGGGTGGTGGTGGTGGTGGGAAGTATTACCGCAACCACTGAATGAGTTCATAGGGAACCTGTTTACCCAAGGGGGGCAGTTCTCACACAGCCACTTCATCTGAGCCACTTCCCCTCCTTCTCATCTTCAAGGGAGTTCTAGAAAGCATCTTCAAAGAATAAACCAGAATATTAAAATAGTAACTCTGCTAGACATTAAAAATCATAGATTCAATAAAGAAATGGCATTTAGAGCCTGTAATAATGTGCTCCCTCTCCCCAGTTAACCCCTCCATGTTACACAGGTGATAAATCATCCATCTCTTTTTTATAGCACACAAACATTTTATGATGTTTTTCCTTGCTAAATCTTCCTCTGCTCTATAGGTATTGTCTGCTTTAAGAGTTAGTCTAAACTACTAAACCATCCTGGTAAATTTAAACAAGTGTTCTTCAACTTAACATTTAGCAATGAAGTCTTCTGTCTGTTTTAGACCTGAAGAAAAGCTTACATGCCCAGAAGTTTGTCATCTTTAGCCCACTGAAACAAATCTGCTAAAAGACATGGCTTCCCGTGACTAACTTTGCCTTGTTTGAAAGTAGAATGTCTTTATTTTTCCCTTTTGGTACCGCTAATTCCAGCCCTCAGGTCAGTAGCCCAAGCTACTATACCTTTGCCTTCAGCTACTATGTGTTGCTTAACTTTGCAATTACTTTATGTAACATAAAACCACTGTGGATTACAACTTGTTAAAAGATTCCTTAGAAAATTAAAGTATACAGTATTGTGACTCTAATCAGAAGATCCAAAGGCCATCAACCTCAAAGAATCTTTGCAATGTGAATTTCCCTGTTTTTGTGAGTCAGTTCTCAAGATAAATGTGGGATCTTTCAAAGAGATAGGTATCTGCAGGTACCAAGGTACAACTCGCATATTTAGAAGCAGTAGTATTTCTTTCCAACCTAGTGATAAAATCCCAGAAGACAAGAGAGAGCAGAAGATTGAGTTAGACCGGAGTAATTTCACCAGTCTTGTGACTTTGCTGTTAAGCAACTATGTATCAGCATGTATTTACTAATTGCAGTGACTCATAGCACAAATACACTGAGCAATGAACGCTCAGGAGCTGACACTTTCTGTCTGATCTATGTTATCTTAAAACAATTTAGAGGATTTAAAATTATTTTCTATAAAGCTATGTTTATTTAGTGTATGGAATCCTTCTAAATGGGTCTTCACTGTCCTAGAAAAAATGGAAAAGTAATATTTATATGTTTATACCTTTTTTTTTTTTTAAATGATAACAACTGAATGCAAATTACAATTGCCAGGGCTTTCTGGAAGTGAAAGAACTAGAAACTGATGGCATGAAATCTTCCTGGTAGAGTGGTAAGAGCTTGGCAGCAACTTAGCTGAGATCTCCTGAAGTCCATAGATGATTTCAATTAATATAGTTACTACTCCTCTTGACAGAAAGGACATCCTCCCTCCACAAACCCATTCACATGAAACACCTGATGAAACTCCCTGCAAGCTTATATACTGTGGAAGTCCACAAACACGTCAACACTCCTGAGGGAGCACTGCAGGAGCAGGAGATGCTGTGGGGGAAGGAGATGGTGGGAATTCCACTACCATTACAATGCAGGAATATTTATTTCTATGTGTTTCTACAAGGGTTGGATCCATCTGAAGTTTAAGATATAACCCAGTCGTGTTTTAACTTTTTAAGACAAAGACTATTCTGTCTATGTGTCTTCCCCATCTCATCTGCAAAGCCAGGAATTGCAGACACCTTCATTTAATTTTAGATGCATTGTCTCAGTTAAGAAGAAAAAACAAATAAATACACACCCAGGACTTCAAACTGTCTTATCCTACAATAAAACTACAAAATAATA